TTAATTGCTTCTTTCGTCTATATTTCGACCATCTTTCCATTTAATAAGTCTATCATGCTGTTTGTGTCAGATTAAACAAACAATGCTAAACGATCTCCCTTCCCACATACTACTTAGAATTTATCAACTGCTTGAGCCAAAGGTTAGGGTTTTGACAGCTTGATCGTATCCAGCAATATATAGCAACATTCTTCTTGCAGGAGCTCAAATTATTAAGAGCTGTGCAGCGACGAGATTATAATTTTATCACTAAGTATCGTAAATGTTTGCGAAGGACATCTGTGATGATTCGCTTACGAGCTGAAGAACATGGACTTGTAATTGATGTGTATAAAGCTCAGTTTTCATTGGATAAGCCGAGGTACGAGTAACAGTCTAGCAAAAGTATAACCTTTATATCAATATATTTAGGCGTTTCGCAATACTCTCGTCAGAATTAGACGAGCTATGGCGATTCAAAGAATTGGCAGTGAAAGGGTTGATACTGGAAAGTGCGGCAGACGGAGAAATTCCTTTGTTGTTCCAAGCTGCTTCGTTATTACCCCTAGACACAGAATGTTCATTGACGTTCAAATCACTTTGCTTCTCCGATTCTAACATAAGCGAACTTCTACGGTTGCTTGGGCAGATTCAGTCTATACCGCTGCTAAAGGTAATTCTATAATTTAGACGATAAAGTCATTCAATGCCAGAATTTCTTTCATTACTTAGTTTTTAGTGTCAGTCAGAAGCAAACTTAAGCACAATTTCGTTCTATCACATCGCTCTATATCTTTTTTCATCTGAGGTTCGAAAAATTTATAAGCAAACCCTTTCTTTAGCTGCACATCATACCAGAAGATATCAGCGCACTAGGCATTAGCTACGCGGTAGTAGCATGACTTTTGTGATGAGCTTATAACCCTTCGACTAGTAAAACAGATAGTAGAGAGATTTTTGAAAAGTTTTGGTATTTGAGCAGAGAAAGAGAGGGCTTTAAAATGCTTATTTCTTAACCGTCTTTTTGGTAACTGAAAAGATTTCGCAGAGTTGTGCATTTCCAGTCAAAAGTAATGCTCTGACAATGAGAAGTTTTCTATTACGTTTGCATATGAAGCAATGTGTAGACTTTGGCCCCACGCAGGCCCCAGCATTGTTTCCATCCGTTACTCTCTCTCGCTAGCGTCATCCACGATGTTGGTGTTGAACTACGGCGGCGACATTAGCGAGGAGAGAATTATTACTCATTACCAGCTGAGAATTCAGCTGGTCCATCCGTGTAACGAACACACCAACCCATCTGATCGGTGGCCTCCCTCGAAGACGTTTTGCTTCGCGAGGAATCCATTCCAAAG